TGACATGATAGTCTTTGTGCCAGACAGGAATAGTGTGAGTCCTGTTAGATTTTCTAAGAAACTCAGCTTCATCAGTGTCATTCTCATCAGGAAACACAGCTATCTCAGCATCCTCCCCCACAGAATGTGAACCAGACAACTCACTAGAAGAGGGGCAGGTGCCAGAAGGAGAAGGAAAAGAAGGTGAGGGGGAAATGGGAACATTCTGGGAAGTAGAAGGTGTGATGACAGTGTCCTGATGAGAAGGGAAAGATGGAGTAGGAGCAGGAGGAGGAATGAAGTTGGGAACTGGTGATAAAGAAGGTGTAATGGGATCTGAAAGAGGAAGAGTGGAAGTAGAAGTAGAAGAAGAAGTTTGGAAAGGGAAAATTGTCTCATAAAAGACGACATCTCTGGAAACAAAGAAGGAATGATTGTTCAAATCATAGAGCTTATAGCCCTTGATGCCAGAAGGGAAACCAAGAAAAATACACTGTCTGGCTCTACTGTCAAATTTGGTTCTATCTCTGTGAAGTGTAGTGGCATAGCTGAGACAACCAAACACTCTAAGGCCAGACAAACTTGGAGGTTTATTATAGAGAAGTTCATAGGGGGACCTGTTTCCAAGCACAGAAGTTGGAATTCGATTAATAAGGTAGACTGCATGGAGAATGCAGTCACTCCAGAAAACCAAGGGAACTCCAGATTGGAACCTAAGGGAACGAGCCACATTGAGGATGTGTTGGTGCTTCCTCTCGACCCTAGCATTCTGCTCAGGTGTCTCAACACAAGACAATTGATGTTCAATTCCCTGTGCAGCATAGAACTCAGCCATATGGAACTCAGACCCCTGATCACTTCTGATCACTTTAACCTGTTTGGAGAATTGCTTTGCAACCATCACACAGAAAGAAACTAGAAGAGTGCTGGCTTCAGATTTATGCTTCATTAGATAAGTCCATACACCCCTAGAGTAGTCATCTACTATAGTGAGAAAGTAGGAGTAACCCTCATGTGATTTCACAGCAAGAGGACCCCATATGTCCACATGGATCAAAGCAAAAGCATCCTGTGCTCGAGAAGTACTAACAGGAAAGGGTAAACGTTTTTGTTTGGCATAGTGACATGTCTCACAATGAAAAACTGGATCCCTATTACAAGGTACTAGAAGTTTTTCTTTTTCCTTATGAAGGTGTCCTAGCCTCCAGTGCCACAGATGGATGTTTTGAGGAGAAAAGTTGTAAACAGCAGCTGCTTGAGAATGGTGTGTAGAAGATTGAGATGGCTTGAAGTTTAGTTGGTAGAGTCCTTTAATCTGCTTTGCCAAACCAGTCCTGCTGTGGGTCATGAGGTCCTGAATTTGGCAACAGTCAGATTCAAAGTGTAAGGAGATAGGTAGGTCATTTGTGAGTTTACTAACAGAGACTAGATTGAAAGAGAAACTTGGCACTAGGAGGACATTGTCTAGAATCAAGCCAGAAGGTAGTTTAACTCGTCCCACATGACTGACAACAACTTTGGTTCCATTTGGTAAGAACACATATTGATTGTAAACAGGCTGAGATTCAATGAACAAGTCTAAACTGCAGGCTATGTGATCAGAAGCCCCAGTGTCTAGTATCCAAGTTCCCATAAGGGCAGATCTTTGCTGCAAGTAAGAAGAGAGTATATACTTACCAGCAAAGCTAGGGAAGTGAGGAATCTGTTGAGACACAGAGAAAGCATGATGGTTGACTGATGGTGATGCAGGTGGTGAAGGACTGGGAGAGGATGTGACTGAGCTGAGTAGAAACTTGAGTTTGTTGATTTCTTCTGATGACAGGCCAAAAGATGTTGTAGAAGTCCTTGTGTCAATGCTCAACTTAGTGTCTGAGCTGGAAGAGTCACTATCAGTTGATGACTCACTTTGAGAAACAGCAGCCACAACATTTCCTCCTGCCATCCTAGCCTTCTTCCTTTTCAGGCTATAGCAGTCTTCAATTGTGTGGTTTTCTTTCTTGCAGTATCTGCAGAATTTCTTCCCATCTGATCCTTCTGCAGGTTTGTTTTGATTCCCAGACTGTCCTGGAACAGCAAGAGCCACAGTCTGCACTCCCTTAGTATTCCCTCCTTTATCACCTTTGATTTTCTGTTCATGCTGGAGAAGGTCATTAACAGCAGCATCCACAGTGGGTAGTGGTTTCATCATCAGGAGCTGGGTGTGAACAACATCATACTCATTCCTCAACCCTTTCAGAAAACGGATGAGGTATTCCACTTCCTGTTTTTGCTTGAAAGCTTCCACTGCTGGACATGGCCTAGTCCTTTGAGGAGCACAATCACATTCAACGATAGGATTAAACTGCAAATTCTCTTCCCAAAGACCCTTAAATGCAGTATAATATTGGGTAATGTTCATAGATCCTTGTTTACAAGCAATAATCTGATCTTGCAAGTTTGCCAGCCTGATAGCATTAGGAAGCCCAAACCTATTCTTCAATTCAACCCAAAGAACCCTTGCATTCTCATGCTGCATAACACTGCGTCTAATTTCCTTGTCAATTGAATTGAGAATCCAGCAAAGAACAAGTGTGTTTGAAGCATCCCATAACGCATAAGTTGGATCATTCTCATCAGGCATAGGTATAGTCCCATCTATGAATCCTACCTTATGTTTAGTCTTCAGGGCCATACGAATTGCCCTCTGCCACATTTGGTAGTTTGGTCCATCTAAGTTCTCTGAAACAATCGATTGAGAGACATTCTCATTTGGGTTAATATAGAAGGGATTACCAAACTGGAGATCGTCACGTCGATTGCCGTTGTTGTTGCTGGTAGTCCCACTACCGTTGTTGCTTGTGCTACCATCGAAGGTGCCAAATGGAATGGCACCACTGTTCAGTTGACTGCGATTGTGTGGAGGTGTGTTAGCCATTGTAGATCACTGGATCTTGTCCAGCTCTGATACCATAAAATAAAGATGTAATGGGTAGGGTTTGTAGGTAGAAGAAGAAGATAGAGGCGGTATGCAATGGAACCCGCAAAGGAGGCAGGGTTCTCTCTTCTCTCATATATATAGTGCTGGTAAAAGGGAAAGTGTTCGTACAAGAACAGTAAAACTGGAAATGAACGTTAAACTGTAATTTAAACAAAACAGTAAATAATGTGCCACGTGTTCCTTCTTCGTTGGCTCCCATCTTCTCCAAGCAACGGTAAGCTCAGTCCTAAACGTCGTCGTCTCGTTCTTCACTTAAGTCCCTGGAGAAGTCGATTGAAACGTTTCGTCCTGCTGCTCTGTTCTTCAAGGTCAGCTACAGCAGCTTCATCATCTGAACCAGAGGTTCATTCTTCTGCATCCTGGATTGATATCCAGCAGTCCACCATTTGAGCCAATTCTAGAAGGCACCATTTGCTGGAAGCGTACCGCTCGGACAAAATAGGGATGTAGATTTTCGATTCCGGGATGGCCCGGACTAGTGAAGGAGCGATCCCTTCCCCCTTCTGGAGCTCTTCCTCGTCCATGAATGTGCGAATCTTGGCACGCGCTAACGAGGTGTAGAGATGATCGGCAAATCCGTTGCGGACGTCGGGACCCCTGAAGCTCAGGAAAACCTCGTAATCCCCTGCTGAGGATTCCATATCTCGCTGCATCGATCGATGATTCAAAGTAAGCAATCGCGATTGATACGAAAGAACGCCGCAAAGGAAAAGGTCCAATTCGCTATAGACGATGACATAAGTAGTAGACCAACGAAATGAAAAGGGCTGCATGTTTTCGAAGGCATGGGAACATATACCTGCAGTTTGAGGAGCCAGATCTTTTGAGGAAGATGACAAGAGGTTAGTGGAAGAAGAAGGAGCAGGAAGTCGCCCCGGAGGACTCTCGGAGAAACTGGGCTGTTTTGTGGATCTGATCGGTTTCCCCGTTCTTTTCTTTTTCATCGGCCACATTAGTTGGCGCTGACGTTGACGTTGACTAACACTTCTGTGGGCTTGACTCTTCTGATCGCTTACCCCTGGGCCTGGGCTGACCTCTGCTTTTGTTACACTGGGCCTCTTCATTTGTGAGCTCAAATCAGGCGTGGCAGATAATAACGGATTGTTGCTAGGGTTAATTTGGCCGGGATGTTTATTATGCAATTAATCAGAGGATTATATTGTCAAAAAAAAAAATCAGAGGATTATGGCGTAACATCTATGTTTTAGAATAGGAGAGCGTGCTGAATCAGATAAGTTAGTAATTTATGGTTCAACAGTTATGAAATTATTGATTAAGCTCGTTTATACGATATATATAACATAAATACATGAATCTAGAAATGAATTTATAACTCACCATGAACAATTTCGAATCAATATCTTATGTCATCTATCGTCGAAATTTATAACAAATCACTCAAACTGTCTCATAAAAAAATTATAAATGACTTTATTAAATTCAAATTAGTAATTAGGGTATCAATCGGAAGTGGATCACGATAAAAAGAATAAGGAGAGTGCAAAAAAAGAGAGGAAGCATAAATAAAATGAGAAATTCAAGTTGGAGGGTCTTAGTTGACGTTATATTTTTTTCCCCTGAACCATCCAACCGTTAAAAAAGTTCGATACATCTCGAACCATCCAAGTAAATGGATGAAACCGCTATTGTAACTGATCTGGTGATTCTACTTGTCAAATTGCTCATTCGGTTCGGTTTCTGTAACGAGAGAGAGAGAAAAGTAACTGATCTGGTCATCTCATATCCAACCGTTAAAAATGTTTTGTACATCTCGAACCATCCAAACAAATGAATCGGATCGCTATTATAACTGATTTGACGATTCTACTCGTCCGATCGTGAATTGGCCGGTTTGTTTTTTTTTTTTTTTTTTTTGTAACAATAAGAGAGAGAAAAGTTTGAGAAATCCATTTATAATTATTTTACATTGGGAGCATATGCTACATTGAAATTAGCTACTTCCTTTCTTTCCACACTTAGTTTAGTCTTTGATCAATAGAAAAATACATATGCTCATCAGCCCGAGTGAGGAGATGGAGCTTAATTAGTTGCCGAGACCGGCCGCAGTAGTAGTCGTATTGGCGCTGCCGCCGTCGCCGCCGATGGCCGCACAGAACTTCTCGATGGCGGGGAAGAACTCCGACTTCTGAAACACCTCGATCTTGCAGTCGTCGGTGAGGTCGATGAAGGCGTGGCAGCAGGCCTTGCCGATGCTGAACACCGATCCGCCTTCGAACGCCTTCACGATCTGAAACACGCACAAGGGGACCTCGAGTATCGCTATCCAGCACTTCGCCGCCACTTTCGGCTCCATCGTCCCCCTTCTGCACCTCGGCAATGGCACTGGTGGCGGTGGTGTTCCCGGACTGGTCGCGTTACTATTAGCGACGGCGGCGGATTCAACCGTCGCTGAAGAAGAGGAGGCTAGCACCGTCGTCGTCGCCAGGAGAATGGAAGCCACGATCATGATCATTCCCCTGCAATGAATACCCATATCGCTAGCTAGAATTGTTTTTGATGGTGAACAATGGGTTGAAAGATATGAAGTGGATGTTGTGAAATGATGTTATATTTGATGATTGGAAGATGAGATATATCGACTGTATTTGTGAGTGTATTTATAGGAATTATACATGGAATCCGTTGTGTTACCATTCTTTGTTGTCGTAGTGCGTGGTGGGAAACTGGGAATGCTTGAATTGAATAGCGTCGTTTTACCGATGTATATACGATGTTCACTAAGAAATTGAAGATGCATCAGTTTACTCACCCCGTTGAAGTTTAATTAAATCGGTTTACACGTTTTGTTTAGTTGTGTACATAATGGCATTTGATATTCTTAGTAGACTATGTTCGGAACTATGAAGTGTGTTGTCTATGCTCATTGGATGTATAGGAATAGATAATTCCAGTATATATCTCGTGCATGTTTGAAACAATTGTAATATTGAAATCTAATTTATCCATCGGTAAAAACTAAATTGTTAGGTGTGAATGGTCGGGAGCGAATATGACACTTTTCTTTACATATTACGATAGCTCGCTTTATATACATTAGTCTACGTACGAAACTAGATATGATGTGATTTCAAGTTTCTAATCGAACAATAATGTTTAATTTGGTTTGCATTTGTTCTATATTCAATTGCTATTTCTTCGTTTGACAATTACCCAAAATCAATTCATCTTTGTTAAGAGTGTACTCTTTGTTTTCGAAATCAAATGTATAATAAGAGTATGGTGTTACGTGCACGTTTTGTAGAATATCATTTAGGGATAAAGATCGGAATATGAAGAAGGGAATGGAGGAAATATAGATAGATTGGAAGAAGAGAAGTGTTCTCCTTAATGGCGAGAACAGAACCCCTAAATTTTTTCGTGGAAAGCCAACCTCCTAGATTAACACTGTAAAACCCTTTTCTGTTTATACTTGATTGATTCCTTATTCTATCAATCTGCTACTTTAAAAAGAGAACTAAGAACTCTACAAACTACTGAAACAATGAAATGTAAACAACAAAGCATAAACAAAATCTCTAATTCTAGGAAACCACTAACCCACTAATTACCCATTACTTCACGTCATTAACCCACCCTTAACAAATAACAACCCATAATTAATTAATAATACTAATTAAATATATGCACATGACATATGGTAAGTCTCTAACCTAGTTAATAAAGAGCCCATATGTAGTTTGGTTTTGATATATTTTTTTCTTAACATTCATAACTCGAATTAGTTCTTAAGTAAGAATAAAAACTAGGCACCGGTTAGCTAGCAAACCTCTCAAATAAATACTTATCTTCCACAAATCCAATGGCACGTTATTACGTTGCTAAATCTACGACTTCTTATATCATGAAACTGAGGATGAAGTCACAAGAGGACGTAATATATGCGCAAGATTAATGAAAAATCGATTCAGATATCACCCTTCAATTTCTTTCAAGTGAATCAGAAATTATCACTTCTTATGATAACATTGAGGATCAAGTTACAAAAGAACGTAACATATATACCACCCCTTCAACTTCTTTCTTTCAGATGAATCAGAAAACATGCATTATATTTCTTGTCCATTCTGAATTTATTCACTATGACCACCTCCCCTTAAACGAAACCCTAAAGGAAACAAACAGAATCCATGCATCCCTTGGCTACCATGACTAAAAATCAGTGAGAAATCAGATCTAGAGCTAGATACAACCATCAGCCGGAACGAGGAGGACTGCCGCCGCCGGTGATGGCAGCACAGAAGCTCTCAATGACCGGCAGGAACTTCAAATTCTGGAACACCTTGATCTTGCAGTCGTCAGTCAGGGACAGGAAGGCCTTGCAGCAAGGCTTGCCAATGCCGAAAATCGCTCCGACGTCACCCATCACCACTTTGGCTATGTCGCCGACGCAGCTGGGGACCTTGAAGATTGCCCCCCAGCACCCCATCGACAGCTCCGGCTCCACCACCTTTGTCGTCGACGACACTGCTGCTGTGGTTGCAGCAGAGTGCAGATCATCAGCGACGGCCGAATCGATCGTCGCTGAAGAGGATAGCACTGTGGCTGCCACCGAAAGGATGGAAGTCACGATTCCCCTGAATTGCATGGCCATTGTAGAGCTATATATGTAGAAGAGATTAATTGTGTTAACTTGATGGTGATCACTGTGGGAGACAAGGGATCTTATTTATATATAACATGGAATGTTAATTAATTGGTTGGTAGGGCATGCAATAATGAATTGAATCGTTTCACGGTGGGTATCATATATATTCTTATTTACTCTGAGGAATCAAGGTTTGATTTGCTTAATCTTTTTCACCTGATCGATGCCTGGTTTGCTATAGGACAATGTATTCGTATCAGAATCATCATGCATGATAATTAAGAATATTTGGGGGAATTTTACATGGGGTTTAATATTTGATTGATTCGTTGTGTGATAGATGGGGAAAGAGCAATTATTCCAGAATCATGCATGATAATTAAGAGCATTTGGGGGAATTATTTATGATGTACGTACACTCATTTATGGATGAAATTGAATGGTTAACAATTCATATTTGATTATCTTTATTAATTAATAACTTATTTAGTTGAATGAGTTATTATGATTTGTACCACAGGTGGCTCCAACAATATTCCACAGTTATAAACTTGATAGCAGAGACCTACATAATTTTCTTGTCATTAAGAATGTCAATGGAGTCGGTGTTGGATGTGCCTTGAAGACCAAGCTTCGGCAAAACGGCGTCGCTGCATTATTGAACTGGGGACACTTGGAACGATGTCGTATTGATCAATGGAAACGGCGACCAAAAGCATCGTCCTTCGCAAACGCTCCTGTCTCTCCATTCTCGGGCATTTCATTTCGCATACCTCCTCTTCCTCACGAGAAACCAGGCTACCGACCTTCAGCGCTACAGCCCTACCCTTCTACAAATCATGAGTATAGGAAACGGGTCTGAGGTCTGCTCCATTCAAACGGTCACTTTGTGACCATGCCTATAAAAGGGCTTCCAGTGTATCTTATTTCTTTTGTAGTTGTAAGACAGAGTGAGATTGTGTTGTCTGCTTTGTTCTTGAACCTTCTTCAGTTGGGAAATCATAGGGTGGATGAAACCGGGTGATTGTCTCTTGGGAAGAAAGGGGTCTTTGAGAGTTTGAGTGTTTTTCGTTTGCAAAGAGCCAAACTTCTTGGCTTGGCTAGGGTTTTTACACTGTTTCGTTACATTCTGTATTTTCCAAAATTTTCAATAAAAATTCAGTTTTTTCTTTTCACTCTGATTCCACAGTCGGAACGCGAGGAACTTATTACCCATACCGCGATTCACGTCAGGCATAGTTCAGCGCATTGGTTATACAAAACTTATCAATTACAAATAGGATTCCCACTTTACCTTACTTTTTTTTTTTTTTTTTGAGAAAGCACTTTACCTTATTTTATTAATTAATAAAAGAGATAAGTAATATTCGACCCGAAACCCTGTCCGAAATGAGCAATCCTTAGATGTCCTATATGTGAAATGAGGTACACTAGTGAGACCTAAATTTCGATTCGTTATTAGTTGGAAAACCGGATCCATAATGTGTCGTGTTGCAAAACCTTGTAAATATACGAAACAACATTATATTCAATTCATTGCCTTAATTACTTCTCTAACAAAGCAATCAAAGTTGGTATTTTTCCTCTTGTCGTTTCTACATGGTTCTTGTGCCAATTTGAACACGTTTTTACCACTGTAACCGGTTTAAGTCTCCACCTTCTAGGACTACAAAACAGACCCAATACGTACATGTTCCAGGAATCCAATGAACTAAAAGTGCGACACAAATATTGTACTTATTCGGACCAAACCCTTTATAAATACAGACACGTTCCACTTCCCCAGTCATTAAGCTATAACTAACCAACCAATATTTATTGAAGCAATAACATATCACAAAAATCCTTACTTCCCAACCATCATTAATGGAGTTCAGGGGAACGATGAAGGCAGCTTGTGTTTTTTTGGTGGCAATAGTGTTGATAACATCTTTAGCGACGACTACTGCCGTGGCGGATGGGATCAAGTCGTCGCCGAGGGTGATAACGTGCCGGCGCGGGGAGCTGCCGACGAAGCTGGCGATGTTGTGTTGGAAGGCGATCTTCGAGGTGCCCTTCTGCGTCTTCGAGATAGTTAAAGTGTACGAAGGTGGGTCGGTGTTCGACATCGGGAAGCCTTGTTGCCGGGCGTTCGTCGACCTCTCCGACGACTGCAGGATCGAGGTGTTCCAGCACTCCAAGTTTTTCCCCGTCATTGAGGGATTCTGTAAAGCCGTTATTGGCGCCGGACCTATCGGCGGCGGTGGCGTCGTCCGAGCTCCGCCTCCACATCATCATCATCATTAATTCCGGTTGATATGTCAAGAGAGGGATTAATTAGGTGGTTATTAGCGTGTTGAGTGGCAGTTAGGCGACGTAGTTAAGTTGCATGGGCTTAATTGTCACTAGGTTGTTAGTTGAGGGGTGCAATGGTATTTTACCTAATTGTGTTAACCCTAGTTGAAGTTGCTGTAGGGTTTGGCCGCATCATATATATATGCGAGCTGTGGCATTATTGCCGTGTTGTTGTGAGTGTGAAGTTAATAATAAGAGTTGCAGCCGAGAGCTCTCGTTGAGCTCTCCGTGGAGTAGTCTCGTTCACATCGAACGAGGAAACCACGTTAAATAGTTGGTGTTATTTCGTTTCCGCGTTTAGGTTATTTTACATGGTATCAGAGCTGATCAAGATCGTAGCTTCCGTTGATTCAACATGAGTGACGACGAGAAGAAGAAGGCCTCCAGTTCTTTTGATGTTGGTTCGAAACCGGAGAATGATTCTACTTCGCCATACTTCATCAGTCAGTCTGACAATCCGAATCAGGTATACGTTGGTGAACTGCTGAACGAAGCAAATTATTCTGATTGGGTACATGACATGACGAACTCGCTGTTAGCTAAAAATAAGCTAGGGTTTGTGGATGGTTCGTTTCCTGCACCCACAGACGCTGTTTTGTTGAGAAGTTGGCGTCGTGCTGACGCCATGGTTAAAGGATGGTTGACTTCGGCCATGGACAAGCAAGTTCGTCGAGGGGCTAGATATGCGCAGACAGCAAGAGAGGTTTGGGTGGACTTGAAAGAGCGATTCGCTCAAAGTAGCGCGCCCCGGGTTTACGAACTGCGTAGCAAAATTAGTCATCTCCCACAAGAGAAACTCTCTGTCCCACTATTCTATACACAACTAAGGAATTTGTGGGAGGAGGTTCAGTCCATGGCACCTCTTCATCTTTGCACGTGTGGCCACTGTACATGTGGTGCCGATCGGAAAAACCAAGAACGTGAAGAAACGTTCCGTCTCTATGATTTTTTGATGGGTCTCGATGAGTCTTTCTCGACCGTCAAAACTCAAGTACTCTCTATGAAGACCCTGCCGACCCTGTCGGAAGCGTATCAACTGGTCTCCAATGACGCGCACCAACGACGGCTAGCTGTAAATAACCGTCCCGGTTCTGATGCGGCAGCCTTCTTTGCGCGTGATGAAGTAGCACATGGTGATAATATTCCCATGGATGGTCGCGGACGACATAGGTGCACCCACTGTGGGAAGACAGGACACTTAAAGGAGAGATGTTTTGATTTAATTGGATGGCCCGATCGCCCTCCAAAGTCTGATGGTGCCGCCAAGAAGAAGGGCGTTGATCGCCCTCGGGACAAGCCCAAAGCGGCCGCCGTTGAAGTTGGTGATAGTCCGGTCGCCGGGTTGAGTGTGTCACAGCTAGCACAACTCAAGGAGTTCTTTGCTGGGACAGTTTTTTCGCCAGAAGCATCCGCTACTAATCTCACGGGTAATTCTCTCTTCTCTACTTCGTGGGTTTTGGATTCCGGATGTAATGAGCATATCGTACACGATGTTGGTCTCCTGTTTAATGGTTCAAAACAGCCTGGGTTACGAGTGAAGGTCCCGAATGGACTTTCCATTGAGGTTGAGCAGGTTGGGTCTGTTCGGTTGAGTAACGGGTTGATTCTTTCTCGAGTTTTGCTGGTCCCTGAATTCAAGTGCAACCTTTTGTCCATCAGTCGGCTGACTAGGGAATTTCCTATCGCATTGATCTTCCTACATGACTTCTGTGTCCTACAGGACTTGCGTTACAAGAAGATGATTGGGATGGGCCACCAGCATGACGGGTTGTACTATCTGCGACTCGTGGGAGAAGGTCAGGAGGCGGCTGCCTGTGCTGCCACGAATGAGAAGAGTTCCTCAGCACGTTTGTGGCACGCTCGGTTGGGACACCCGTCTGTTGAGAAGTTATCATTGTTACCTTTTGTTTCCAGTCCAAAACAGTTGCTTCAGGATCATTGTTCATCTTGTTTGCGAGCAAAACAAACTCGTAGTCCTTTTCCGTTGAGTTCCATTAAGACTACTCGTCCGTTTGAACTAGTTCACGTTGACATTTGGGGTGGATATAAAGATCCATCGTTGAGTGGAGCTCATTATTTCTTGACTCTAGTTGATGATTTTTCTCGGGCTGTTTGGGTGTTTCTCCTTCGTTATAAGTCCGAGGTTGCCAGTTACTTGATGATGTTCTGTAAGCAAGCTCAAAGGCAGTATGGACATTCCGTTGTTCGTATACAGGCTGATAATGGCATGGAATTTCAAACTACTGTTTTGCGGCGATATTACGAGGATGAAGGCATCGTTTTGCAAACCTCGTGCACTGATACACCGCAACAAAACGGTGTTGTGGAGCGTAAACATCGTCATTTGTTGGAGACTGCTCGTTCTCTGAGATTTCATGCTCATCTGCCTATCAAGTTTTGGGGGGAGTGCGTTCTTACTGCTGCATATTTGATCAACCGGCTGCCGTCCTCTGTTACTGCCAATGATACTCCTTTTGAGAGACTCTTCGGTCGTAAACCGAGCTATGCTCATCTTCGGACGTTTGGCTGTTTGGTATATGCCAAGGACACCCACTCCTCGCTTGACAAGTTTGCTGCTCGGGGACGGTCATGTGTTTTCCTCGGATATCCTGCCACACAGAAAGGATATCGTGTTTTTGATTTGGAGCAACAGTCTATTTTCACGTCCCGTGACGTGATGTTCTGTGAGGATCAGTTCCCTTTCCAGTCGACGACTAGCTCGTCTTCCTCACCCGATGTCCCCGAGTTCATTTTTGACGATCGTGCTCATGATTCTGCTGATGATGATGAGGTCTTAACACCTCGGGCTGGCGAAGATCTTGAGCACTCCACACCTGCGCCTGCTACTGTTCCAAATAACAGTTCCTCGCCTAGTTCTTCTCCGATCTCGCCAGGCACCACCACGTCTGCTTCACCATCTGCAGAATCCCCGTCGTCGGGCGCTACTCCTTCCGGTTCGTCCCCTGGCCCGGATGTCACGGCACCCCCCGTTGTTGAGCTTGATCGTCGTACTCGCCATCGTCAGTTGCCTCGTCATCTTGACATTTATGAGGTCACGTTACCTAGTGCTCACTCTTGTGTGAAATATCCTCTTGATGATGTTTTGTCTTATGATCGTTTGTCCCCTCGTCATCATGCTTTTGTTGCAGCCATTACTCGGATGGTGGAGCCTCGCTCGTTTGCTGAAGCGGTTTTGCTTAAGTGCTGGCGCGATGCTATGCAGAAGGAGATTGATGCTCTTGTTGCCAATGGCACATGGGAGCTCGCGTTCCTACCTCCTGGTGCAAAGCTCGTTGGATGTAAATGGGTCTTTAAGATCAAGTATCGCCCAGATGGCAGCATCGAGCGTTTTAAGGCGCGCCTGGTCGCGAAAGGGTATACGCAACGGGAAGGGGTCGATTTCCACGATACCTTTGCTCCGGTTGCGAAGTTGGTTACTGTTCGCTGTGTGTTGGCCCTTGCAGCTCAGCACGGTTGGTTTCTCCAGCAGTTGGACGTTAATAACGCATTTCTTCATGGCGATCTCGACGAAGAAGTGTATATGCAGGTTCCCGACGGATTTGCTCGACCGGGGGACACGCGAGTATGTCGTCTTCGCAAATCACTCTATGGGTTGCGACAAGCATCCAGAAACTGGTACAAGAAGTTTACATTGGCATTGCTACAGTTTGGTTTTAGTTGCTCGCGAGCTGATCACTCACTGTTTTTGTATCGGAAGAATGGAGTTTTCGTGTTTGCTCTCATCTATGTGGACGATATCGTCCTAGGGGGAGACAGTTGGGAAGTCATTGAGATGGTGAAGGCTTTCTTACAGAGGGAATTCAGCATTAAAGACTTAGGACCACTAAAATACTTTCTAGGAATTGAAGTGGCCAGGTCGCAGCATGGGATTTCGTTATCCCAACGTAAGTACGTTTTGGATATCCTGGATGATGCTGGTGCTCTCGGAGTCAAGCCGTGCTCCTTTCCCATGGAGCAAAATCATCATTTGACCCGATCAGAGGGTCCAGCCGCGCAAGATCCTTCGGCGTACCGGAGACTTGTTGGTAGACTCTTGTACTTGACAGTGACTCGACCTGACATCACGTATGCAGTAAATATACTGAGTCAGGCCGTGCATTCACCCAGACAGCAGCATGTCGAGGCAGCATATCGAGTTCTACGCTACCTAAAGCATGCACCTGGGCGAGGTTTGTTTCTTCCCGCAAACAGTGATTCAGTTTTACGAGCTTATTGTGATGCAGACTGGGGAGGGTGTCATGGGACTCGTCGGTCGACTTCTGGATACTTCATACAACTAGGAGGGAGTCCGATATCATGGCGTACGAAAAAGCAGTCTGTAGTGGCGAGATCATCGGCTGAAGCTGAGTACAGGTCAATGGCCGTCACAGTTAGTGAGTTGATTTGGTTGCGTTGGCTATTGCAGGAGTTGGGTGTGCGTTCCGTGGAGCCTACACCATTGTACTGTGACAATCAGGCAGCGTTACACATCGCAGCAAATCCAGTTTTCCATGAACGTACAAAACACGTTGAAATGGACTGTTATTTTGTGAGAGAACGTGTGACGTCAAAGGAGATAGATCCGAGGAAGATTGCAACAGGTGATCAAGTGGCGGATGTGTTTACCAAAGGTTTGGGCAGTGAACAGTTCGCCTACCTTACGTCCAAGCTTGGTCTTCATGACATTCATTCCTCCGCTTGAGGGGGAGTGTTGAGTGGCAGTTAGGCGACGTAGTTAAGTTGCATGGGCTTAATTGTCACTAGGTTGTTAGTTGTGGGGTGCAATGGTATTTTACCTAATTGTGTTAACCCTAGTTGAAGTTGCTGTAGGGTTTGGCCGCATCATATATATATGCGAGCTGTGGCATTATTGCCGTGTTGTTGTGAGTGTGAAGTTAATAATAAGAGTTGCAGCCGAGAGCTCTCGTTGAGCTCTCCGTGGAGTAGTCTCGTTCACATCGAACGAGGAAACCACGTTAAATAGTTGGTGTTATTTCGTTTCCGCGTTTAGGTTATTTTACATAGCGTGTGGAAAAAAAGAGAGGGAGAAATGTATGTGTTGACTCACTTCTTGTAAAATTATTTACAAAATTCAATATGTATGAGTGTAATTGCGCCTTCTTCTGATCAAAATCTGTATAAGCTCTTTGTTCAATGAAAGATTGTCAAATAATTTCGAACGTTAATGTTGATACAAACGCAGGAGCATGTATGCATGGTAATAGTCTAATTATTACGGCTGGCTATTTGGTCCGGATTTTTTGGTTTTATCCGAAACCGGACCGTATAACCCGGACCGGGATCGGATAATAAACAATCCAATCTCATATTTGGGCTTAGATTTGAAATAAAAAATCGTTTAGGACCGGACCAAAACCGGATAAGAGAGCCCAACACCCAAAACTCCACTAAAATCTCCACAATCTCAATCTAAAATCAAGACCGAATTGAGACCGGACCGGGTCAAAATCGGACCGGATCAAGACCGGACTATATCCAATCCAATCTTTGATCCTTATATTCCCGAAAAGACCGGATTAGGACCCGATCCAATTTAACAGGGCCGGACCGTATAGCCACCCCTACTAATTATAGTGAATTAGTTTCTCAATTGACTTGGGAAAAAGTATTAGTATGTATTCGTGAATCTCTATCGATTCTAGAAGTGTTTAAATGTCATATAATAGTAACCAAATCAAACTAATTTGAAAATACCAAAGAACAAAATAGTTTAGCCAGACCTAAAAATTACTAAAATAATCAGTCTCTTTAGTTAACTTGATTGATTACTTAACTAGTTTAACCAATCTAATATATCCATTATCATTCATTACCATACCAACCACAGTCCTTTAAAGGGAAGTTCATTTTCTCTTCGTGTCATTCGTGAAATTTTGTATCTTTTGGCTCCTTGTAACTTTCATAAAGTTGCCCACCTAATGGTAAAACAAATTCTTTCATTAGGAGTTAAATTGTACACGAATTATCGTTCATTATTATTATTATCTACTTTGTATGTTTAATTTGTTGTCCAATCATACTTTGGATGCTTATCTAAGTTTAAAAAAATGAGATAAATTCATATATCTCATATATTTCAGAATCACGAAACATAAATTGTTATTAGTTTATATTCTTATTAATCAAGGTGAACCATCACATATCGACAAATAACACATTAGTTCTTTACGTAATTTATGTTAAAAATAGAAAAGAACTAGTTGGTCTCAATAACCGGAGTTGTAGAGAGAGTTTCAATGATAAATCTTATACCACATAATAACACGCACCCTTAAACAAAAGCCACTCATAAGGGTTTGAAGTTTGCATGTGCTTAACTAATGGGGGTCGTTGGAATTCGAACACAAGATCTCTTTAGTCATTGAATGCTCTAATACTGTGTCAGGAACTAGTTTGTCCCAATAACTTGAGTTGTTAGAAAAGGTTCGATAATCAATCTGATATCACATACTAACGAAAGTTGCATACATAGACACGAATTTCATTCAAAGCGTTCAATAAAAATTGACAATCTTATGGTTTATTGTATACTATGAATTCGCCATTTACCATTATAATTAGGTAGCACAAAAGGTCGTTCACACTGAATGAGGAAAATCTTACAAGTATCTCTATAACTTACACTTGGGTTATTAATTCACTCTGTTATAACTTATAACATTTTTTTTAAATGTCCACAAATATAATCGATCAATTGTCCACAAATTTGGACCCTGCCGGCTGTCAAAATCTTCCTAATGCTATATAGTGTACTAAATACTAGTCATTGTACATAATAACCAGCTAATGACAATAAAAAAAATTAAACACGAAATTTAGGTCAAAGAAGGACCCAAATACTAGTCATTTTGCACAACTTCCAGTACTGCTATTGACACCAAATTGAAATTACCAATTTCGACCAAAAATATGCTTAAAACCACCCTGCTTGACTCATTGTATTCCCACTACGCACCAATACAAAAAGAAAAGAAACAAACCTCCATAGAATTTCCATATACAATTAATCAATATAAATACTTTACACAAATATACGATCGAAATTATCTCTCTTCTAATCTCCCACATCCCAATTCCCCAACCATTCAAGCCTAGACATCAACCCTTACTTCACCATTGTTGTTCAATATGCAGTTCATCAGGGGAATTGTCATGGCGACGATACTGATATCCTCTTTAGCGACCATATTTTCCGTCCCTAATAATGACTCAACAACAACAACAGATATAGCAACGACGAATTCGACGACGTGTAAGCGGGGCACGATGCCGACGAAGATGGCGGCGAACTGCTGGAAGGCCATGTTCGAGGTTCCGATCTGCATGTTCGACATAGTGAAGGCGTACGAAGGCGGGTCCGTGCTCGACATCGGGAAGCCTTGCTGCAGAGCTTACGTGGATCTCACCGACGACTGCCGGCTCGAGGTTTTCCAGCATGCCAAGCACTTCAAGGCCATGGAAGGATTCTGTCAAGCCGTCATCGGCGCCGCCCCTATCGGCGGCGGCGGCGTCAAGGCTCCGCCTCCTCATCATCATTCCGCTTGATCATTATACTATTTTGTTATTGTTATTCTCCATTTTTAATTATAAAATTACTTTTGAACTGATATAATAAGATTTGGTATGGATCTTGGGTGTTTGTTAACATTCTTTGATAAAAGATTAGCTCGTAAAATAATTATATATTAATTAACGGGCAATGTCTATTTTTTACCCAAACCTTTTTCAGATTCTTTTATTTTACCCAAATCTATTGAATTCCTAAAAATTATCCAAACGTTAACTCTCCGTCAACTTTTCTGTTAGTAATGCTGACTAAGTATGACCATAATGAGTTGACTTCCTACGTGGCAGTCAGAATACCATCATTTACTATTTTTAATAAAAAGATTATAAAAAAACAAAACAAAATTCCACCTCTCACGTGGGCGAAATAAGTAACGGTAACAGAATGAATGTCCAGACTTTTATAAATTATAATACGTTTGGATAATAAATAGAATTTCTATAGGTTTGGTTAAAATAAAAGAATCTGAAAAAGGTTTGGGTAAAAAATAGACATTGCCTTAATTAACTGATTCGGTTTGAAGCCAAAATTTGAGTGTCTAATGTTTAAGGTTCACAAATTCGGTATGGGCTCTGGACACTTTTGGGCCCATAAATCTCAAACAAAACAAGTTTGTGGGCTATAGGATATTAACGGACCTCGATGGAACAGTTTAGTCAAAGCCCATGAAATTCACGACTTCTTCTGATACGTCACATCGCTCTCTGTCCTTTCCTCGGTCCTTTCTTCTTCTTCTTTTTCTGTGACAAAAAGTTAAATCACAGTCTTTTTACTGCGCGGTAAAAACTAGAAAGGAAAATGGAGTTGACTGGTTCTGGTTCCAGGTTTCATTTCACCCTGTACTTCCCCAAACCAACACCGAATAAGAACATACTCTCGCCGGCAGACTGGAAGCGAAATCGATTATGGCTTCTTCCGGCCACCGTCGCGGCCGCAAAGATGACCCAAGTTTGGCCGAGCGAATCGGCGCCAGTTTCTTGAAAATCATACTTCAGACCACCGTTCGCGACAGGAAGCTGGTAAAAAACTGAAAACTTCACCATCCCCCTCTTTTAATTTCTAATCTTCGGAGCTCTGCTTAGTAACAACAAGGTTATTGATTGTGCCGTTAATTTGCAGTTGATTCCCAGAAAGTTCGTGACGGACTCCGTCGGCGGGCTGTTGAACTGGAAATCTGCAACTTTGAAGGTAAACGATGGAGTGGAATGGGAAGTGGGGCTGGCGAGGGAAGGGAAACAGGATGTTTGTTTTGGAAACCATGGGTGGGAGAGATTTGCGCAGTATTACTCTTTGGAGTACGGCCACTCCCTGGTGTTCAAGTATTTGGGTCGATCTACCTTCTTCGTGATCATATTCGATAGATCTACCATGGAGATGGATTACCCAGTCAGAGAAGATGTGGGAATCAAGGAAGATGGTGGTGGTGACTTGGATGCTGCTGCAACAACAACAACAAATCAGTTGAAGAGAAACAAAGGCAAAGGCGAATCTAGCAAGATGGTGTTGGAGGCAGGGGAACAAGGTTCAAAGGGGGAAGCAGGATCTGGAGAGCCATCTTCAAGTACGTCAAGAAAGCGTAGAGCTCACTGAAGGCGAGTACTATTAAGACTGAAAGGTCCACTCACTATGTTCAGAGATGGTTTATTTTATGGGAACTTGTAGTGTTCTCTATGGAGTAGGGATATGGCTGTTTTGCTGTTTATTTTGACAGGATACTTGTTGTATCATCAACCACATTGCTGTAGAATTTCTATGTTGTCTGGCCACAAAGTATTTGTACTAGTTACTGTATTGTTTCTGCAACTGTTCATCACCTGGTTCTTAAACCATGTTGGTTGGCTGGCTGGCAACAAGGTGTTGTAGAAAGCAGAAGAAAAACCAGCTACTGACTATGGGTTTGATCTAGCTAGTAACACAGATCAGAATTTGCAACTTCATCACTTAGAAGGCGACGTGAAACAACACTAAGACAACGAACCAAGCACAAATTCTGGCCTTTTTTTGATTGCTAACTAATGCAATGACATCTCTTGAAAGATTTGATTTGAACCATCATCGTTTCCTTCTTATCTTTTCAGTTCTATGCATGTCATCCAATTTTCTCCCATGTTTGTGTTGACTGTAGTTGTCCCTTCTTTCCAATGCATATTTCTGTCTGACATTACAGTGATTGTACATTTCCCTTTCCTTGATCCCCAGACCAAGAACAGTGAAGCCTGCGCCCCTTTTTTGACTCTGCAGTAAAAAAAAGATAACACAAACGTGTTAAATTGGCTCCAGCAGGTCTCTGATTCAGTTATCACAACTGTTAATATAATAATAGAACCTCAACAAGAAGCCAAAAGAAGGCCCCCCCTTTGCTTTACCTTCCCCTGCAATTATCGAAGACGAAGAAAGATTGAAACTTTGACAAGGACTATGAATTCAGCTGGCATTTTCAGCGACGGTGAGTGGGCCGACGAGCAAACGGGCGCCCGTTTCTTCAAAATCATCCTTCACTCCACCGTTCTTGACAAGAAGATGGTAAGAGAACACAAACCTCAGTTTTGTTTTCCGCCTCTTCTCTTTTGATTTTAGTTATTTAGTACCATCGAATGGTTGGCAGTTGATTCCGCGGAAGTTCATCAGGGATTCCGCGGGGGAGCTGCTGTACTCCAAGTCTGCAACTTTGAAGCTGCCCAGTGGAGACGAATGGGAAGTGGAGTTGATAAAGAAAGGGGAAGATGTCTGGTTTGGAGGCAGCGGGTGGCAGAGATTTGCCGAGTTTTACACTTTGGAGTATGGTCACTTCCTGGTTTTCGAGTACACGGGTCGCGCCGAGTTCTCTGTGGTTATCTTCGGTAGATCTGCTACCGAGATCAATTACCCAGTTAGAGAAGCGATTGGGATTGAGGATTCGGCTGTTTCTGTGGAGATTCTGGATGGTGATGGAGATGACGACGACAAGGATGCTGTAGCAACAAATCAGTTGACGGAGAAGGAGAACAGCAAAGGCAAATCTCCAATAGCTAACGATGGTGGTACTGACAAGGCTGGTCAAGCTGTTGCTATCCAGATTAAGAAGGAGCAGAAGAGTTGTTGGAAATCAGTTGCAGAACTTGATAATCCTATGGGTATGAATCCATTTCTCAAGTCTCTCAGTCCTCACTTGTGTTGATTTCTTGCTCTTTTTCTCAAGGTTTCTTCACAATACTGTCTTTTCAGAAGAGAAACAAGGTGCTTCTTCAAAGTCAAGTAAAAGTGGAGCTCTGCCATCAGATGGATTCACATCGAAACGTCCTTCCTTCCAGATCAAAATGAGTCAAAGTTACATGGCAGGTGCAAAGCCGGTATGCATTATGACTCCGGGGATCTAGATCTTATACAGTTCTTCAGCTGTAGTTATCATTTGCCTCTGCTTGAAATTACCAATGATGGATGATTTGGATGTGATGTTCTTTTTTAATTTGCAGCATTTTCCTCTACCCTTTAGAAAGAAGCACATTAAGTTAACCGAGCAACGGCTGAAACTTGTGTCTGGAGGTAGGGATTGGACAGTAGAGCTGTGTTCTTATAAGACCAAGCACATGAAGCTTGGCGTTGGGTGGAAGAGCTTCATGGAAGATAACTCGCTACAGCTTGGAGATGTCTGCAACTTCGAGCTGGTAAGTGGTGATCCTACAGATGTTCAGCTGAGAGTCACCATCGCCAGAGCTTGTGCTTGATTAGAAGGGTCATTTTGAGGGATGTTAGTATGAAATTGAGCTCCCATCTTGGTAGCAATTGAATGGTGTTTTCTGTTTTATCTGATTGTTATGCTAAGCCAGAAGCATTACTTTCTTGTGTTCATCTGTTCGTCACAAGAACACGCTTAATTCAGTTGTTTTTTATTCTGCCCTATCGGCCAGGGGCCTAGCCCATATATCATGCCCCGTTTAACTTACTTCCGCTTGGGCCTTCAGCTTTTCCTCTGTTAGCACCTGTCTTATTTCCTCATCTGAGATGGGCCTCCTTTTCCATACCGGCCCAACAGCCGATGCGGGACAACCGGCCCATCTATAATGGTACGTGGACAAAAAATTAAGATAATAACTACCGTACGTTGGTGGCAATAGTCTGGTACAATCCTCTTTCAGCGACGGCCGTAAAAGTCGTCGCTAATTTGGACTCAACAGCAACGACAGCTACAACGACGACGGCATTGTCCAGCATTCCATGTTTCCCCCGACGTCGTTGAGAATTCTCTGCGCCGTCGCCGTGGGTGGCGGCGGCAAAGCTCCACCTTCAACTTCCGTTTGAATTTTGAACCAGACGATATGCAGACCATTTCTGAAATCACAAAGAAACCTGAAAGCTTAGAATTACCTGCAGATACAGCATGCAAAGTTTGCCATTGGGCTAGTTCCTCCATATAAAAGAGGGGAGGATAGCATGTGGAAAGAGAGATAAGGGGAGCCAGAACGCTGCCTACTTCATCAAATCATCAGTTCTCCTTTCCTTAGGATGAAACTAGAGAGGAAGTAGGCAAATCATTCCGGCTTCCAGCAACAGCTCTCTTCCTCATCTTATCCCTTTCTCTTCTTAGTTATCAGCTATAGCTAGCTAGCTAGCTAGGGTTTACTTTTGCTCTTTGCTTCTTCTTCACTGCCTCCACACCTTGAAATGAAATGCCTCGGCAAATCTCTCTATTTATACAACTCCAAAAGCTATAGCATCCAACATTGACTAAGGTGAAGTGGGAGGGGAGGAGGAAACTATAAAAAAAATAATAAGTAGGGGTGGCAGTTCGGTTATTTCGATATAATCGGTAACCGATTGGTCGGTTATCGGTTAACCGAAATAACCACTCCCCCTACTGAAAACTGCCTGAAATAGGCTTCAGTTTCTCGATTATCTCGGTTATCGGTTAACCGAACCACTTTTAAGTCCAAACACCATTCCGTTCAGCCTCCGATAGCCGACCGAAATTCGGTTACTTTAGTTACCGGTTAGTGGATAACCGGCCGATTAACCGATAACCGGTAACCGAACTACCACCCCTAAAAATAAGATAAAGCAGGAATATTTGGCTCTCCCAATTGGCCCAACTTGAGCTCCCATATATGAACCAAATCCCATATAATTTCATTTCAGAAGAACGAGACGATCACTTTCATTTGTTATACTTAAATAAAATTTAGACTATATTTCAATTCATGAACATAGCCTCCATGATTGATTGGACGACCTTATCCTCCCGATTTATATATACGCTTTTACTTGTCCCCGCTATCAACAATAACATCAAGTAAATCGATTGATCTCTGTAGTATAATATACGGAGATGATAATATTTATCACAAACCTTAAGGGTATTACGTGCCCGGACGTTAATACAAGTATACAACTCATATATGCTATAGCGCTAGAGAATGGAAGTTTGATAATTAATCGTGGGTGCATGTGCATTGATTGTATTGAAGATAACAAAGTCACGTTGAAATTTGCAATGAGATCGATTTGATTTTATTCTCATCTTTTCTCTCTTGAAAGTAACTACTATTTTGGCTATGCAAGTTGGGAACCGATTCGAATTGTCTCATGCTTGTTTATCTAGAAGAACAAACTTGGAGATATTGGGTTTTAACAGTGATGGATAATAGATACACAAGTTGATAATTAATGAGGGGCTGAAACTTTTCCTACCATATATATATATATATCCTCATTGACATTCTCCTAATCAAACTTTTTGATCATAAGATTGGATTCATGCAAAAAAAGAGAAAAGAAAACTCGGTGATAACATTGGACTTTCGACATTTGGTAATGTTCGCTTGCTCGTGGGAACCTTTTAGATGCAACTATGAAAAACACATGTGCATTATCCTCTCGAGAGTTCGGCCATGTTCTCTGAACTTATCTTTAGAAGGAGATAATTTATTATTGCCAGTTGCTAATATTCTGCGTGTAAAGATCTCGCGTCTGATACTCTTTGTCTCCTCATTTTACGAAAACAAAGTTTTGACGAGAACCATCACAAATGAATTTATGATTTAAAAGCGAGGAGCTAAAACTATTAAATTACAAGAGCTTCTTCCTCTAGATTGAAATTAGATTTTTAATTGGAGGAGCTTGGACTAATAGCTAGGAATACACAAAGGTTTGCTCAACCGTTTTGCAGAAGTAGTAAGTTACACGGAAGAACGCAAACTCGAGCGAGTACTTCCCCACGAAAACCCGTCGCTAAAAAGAGTCCGTCGCTAATCTTACACTTAATACTCACGACCTAACATCGTCAAATATAAGAGCATTGGTTGCATTAAGCCGCCGCCACCGGTTTGATGAAGCATTGCGTCTATCTCATCGCCATTCTCCATCTCCAGCTGTACATGCAATTACAGCCAACAACCACCCCACAAAAAAAAGATTACTTCTCTAATGAATTGACTCATTTCAATAACAATAATCTCAATCAAATCTGCATAGATTTTCTGCCTAGCTAGCATGCATGAACAATATATACTCGTTACGAAAAAAGATAGGAAACAGAAATTGGAGTGAAAGGAGATGATCGACGGACCTCGACCGGAGTATGTTCGGGGCGAATTTTGCGACCGTCGAACAAGAAAACGACGGAACTGAAATCCATCGACTGTCGATCGCAATAGGCATTCATAAGTTTCTTCAACGGACTGTTCTTCTTTATCTTGAAGAATACCTCACCTCCATCCTAAACATTACCATTAAAAAATGGGATGAGATAGCATGCCTACCCATAAAAGGGTTGGCAAAATGACAACCCCTATTAATTATAGGTTTTTAAGGTAATTAATTTGTGATGCATTTAATAATCGGGGTCGGTTAGCATGCTAACCCCCTTAGGGGTTGGAAAAATGACACCCCCTAGTATATTAAATACAACTATAGAATTTAATACACACATTAAATACACATTAGGAATTAAATGTACCATATTAATTAGGAGTTCTCTCACTATTAAATGCACATTAGGAATTAAATACACACATTAAATACACATTAGGAATTCTCTCACTATATTTTATTTTCCTTTTTCAGCAGTCTCCGACCACCAGACTTCCTCCGACCGCCACACTTCTCCGGTGAAAATCTCATCGGCAGACTCCCTTCGACCACCTCCAAAAAATATACCACTGCACTGATACGGTGTACCACTGTACTGGTAGATATAGCACTGCACTGATACGTTGTACCACTGTACTGGTAGATATACCACTGCACTGGTAGCGATATCAGTGCACTGGTAGCAATGTCATATCTGAGTATCAGTGCAGTTAGGGGTGGGCATTGGGTGGGTCGGGTGGATTTTGACCATAAAATGCACCCACCCGCGCTTAAACGGATTGATAATTTTTAACCCACCACCCACCCACATTTAGTCTCGGGTTGGGTCGGGCGGATGGTGGATGATGCAGGTGGGTTTGTGGGTTCACCCACATCACAATGTATATAATATAAAGGAGTCAACTTGACATGATAATAGGTGAAGAGAATCATCGAGGGAAACAAGAAGTTGAAATATGACGAAAAATGTCGAATTAGTTCTTAAATTGGATAGAAATTCTATTATGAAAGAGTTTTCTACAGATTGAGACGATTATTAGGTGCAAGGAACTAAGGAAAATAATTCCACAAAGGAAAGAGCGGTGATCTAGGCACAAGAATTAGAGGAAAAAGTAAAGGGAAGAAGAGGGGATCTCTATTTGGAAGGTTGGCTTTGAGGTTCAAACTCCAGGAGTAGTCCGAATTTATATCTAACGTCTCCACTCTCCTCTCTCTAGCGCCAACGACTTTGATCTTTTTGTTGTTGGGTTGAGCGGGTCACCCGCACACTCACCCACAACCCACCCACCACCCGGCGGATGGCTCCCAGCGCAACCCGTCACCCACCCACAGACCCATCCACTTAACAAAATTCGGGTCAAATGCGGGTGGGTCGGCCCAAACCCGCGGATGATCCGCCCGCATGCCCAGCCCTAAGTGCAGTGGTACAAATACCAATAAAGTGGTAATTAATGTGGTGTATTTAATGCTCACTTTGTATTTAATAACAGAACATTTATTATGTTTACTTTCATTAATACTTGTCAATAATTAATGAAAAATTGACCAATTAAAAGGGGGTGTCAAAAAACCAACCCCTTAAAGGGTTAGCATGCTAACCCGTCCCTTAATAATCTGTATGAATTAAAAACACATATTAATTACTTTCCTTTTTTCAGTGCACTGGTAGTTGTATCAGTGCACTGGTAGTTGTGTATAGGTGCAATGGTAGATGTATCACTGCAATGATAGTTCCAAAAAAGGAACGTAATTAATATGAGTTCAGTATACCGATGCACTGATACAACTACTAGTGCACTGAAAAAGGGAAAATAATTAATATGTGTTTTTAATTCATACAGATTTTTAAATGCAATACAAATTAATTACCTTAAAAACCTATAATTAATAGGGTTAGCATGCTAACCGATCCCTTAAAAAATCAATGGTGCAGTTAGAAATTCAAGTGAGGCCAAAAAATTAAATGTGACAATGTGAAAATTACTTCTCTTTCGTCCAATCGAATCAACTCAAATCTTGTGACCAACACTAACTATTCGAATGAATTCTACTTGTATATATAAAAAAAAAAACTTCAAGGGGAGTATGGCTCATTATTTGTGGATAGTACTTTTTCTAAACCCTAAACCCTAAGATTAATTGGGGGGAAAATTTAAACAAAAATTAATCGATTTACCTGGCCTTTAACCTTGAGATCGATACGGTCAGGATCTACGACGGGTTTCTTGTCCGTGGCCTCTTGATTCTTCGTTACTCCTGACATCTTTCTTCCTTTGGTCTTTCGTTTTCCTTTGCTGCCTCTTTAGATATTTACCTCGATCTCTCTGGGAAGAAAGTTTTTACTATTTGTATTTGTGAAAGAGAGTAGAACAGAACGAGAAGTTACCGGATTACTTACGGATGCGGGAAACCTAACAGATCGTTGTTGGGGGCCCAGCTAGCTAGGCGGAAATTGGGCCGATAGATTGCATTTTGGGCTTCGAAATAGTTAGGCCCGACCCATTTTGTAAATATGTTCACAACAGTGCGATAGAAGCTAGCTCCACCTAGTTATATAAGTAGCCTAGGGGAGAACCAGCTAAGCATGATTTCATCTTTGATAGCAGCAGCCACAAAACAGTTACTTACAGCACAAGTTTCACATCAACAGGAATCTCGCTGATGACGATGTTATTACACAGTCAGTGACTACGGACTAGGCTCCCGCGTATTAGAACAGGTGCATTATGTGTTGCTTGCCACGAAAGCTTTTATGTCGAATGCGTCGCTGTCTGCCTTCGTGATGACACCCTGCTCAAGTAACAGGGAAAAAAAACCCCAGATTAGAAGAGGAACCATGAATAGTATGGTTGGAGAGAAGGAAGTACCTTCTCGGTTATGATCCCAGCGATCAAGCTTGCAGGGGTGACATCGAAAGCGGGGTTCCAGACCGAGATACCGGAGGCAGCAACTTGCTTCCCGAGTCCTCCACGTGAGTTCAGCAGTTCCTTTGGAGATCTTTCCTCTATGACGATTTGCTTCCCTGAATCTAGGGACAGGTCGATCGATGTAACTGGTGCTGCCACGTAGAAAGGGATTTTATGGTGCATGGCACAAAGAGCTAGGCTGTAGGTTCCAATCTTGTTGGCAGTGTCTCCTGCAGAATAACTTGCGCAAGTGATGCATATGTTTTGAGAAGTAGATGCTGGAGAAGGTGGTTGAGGTGTGTTCTAATTAGGTTACCATTTGCTGCAACTCTATCTGCTCCAACAATAACGGCGCTTACTCGGCCTTCTTTCATCAATGCAGCTGCAGCAGAGTCTGCTATAAGAGTAGCAGGTATTTTTTCATGCACCAGCTCAAAAGCTGTGAGCCTAGATCCCTGCCGTAGGAAAATTCAAGTGCGTTAATGAGACAGGAAGGCAGGACATCAACTTGACATTGTAATTTCCCAGAAGCATTCATAAACATTAACCCCCTTACGGAAACAAAACACCAAACTTGGGGCCTATATGGCTCTGGATAAACAATCTACTCAAGTTATGGGGCTACAATCATGAAGCTTTATCAATAAATCCAACTCTTCTTGTTACTGAAACAGATAAATATAAATATGGATTCAAACCGCGATAGCTTCTTAAATATCATGAAGTTTATGGAAGTGCCAAAAGCCAAATAGAAACCACGGACTCACTTGATTAAATGGGCGTGTCTCGGTGCAGTAAGCTCTTTCCAACACTCCGCCTGAATGAAGTGCACGAATGACGCCCAGAGCAGTGCCATATCCAGCGGTAGCAAGACTGAAGTCAAATGAACACACATTAGAAATGCACCATGGAACCTTTCCAGAGGCTACAAAGTTGAAAAGATGCCTGATTTCCTTCAAAGAAAGAGACTTGCTCTTTTAAGAAATTACTCCAAGGAGCCACATAGAGAAAGAAAGTAACCTGCCAGTGTTGCAGTGAGTCAGAACAGAAAAGCTCTTGCAGCCTTTCAAATGGTTTCGAATGAACTGTGCTCCATATGACCCAATCGCTTTGTTCGAAGCAACGTCTTCTTCAAGCATGACTTCAGCAGCTTCAATGTAAGCCTGACCAATTCATTGTCATTGCAATTATCCAACAAAGACAGTGAAATCCTCCCCACACACAGCTGAGCGATCACATACAGAGTGCTCTAGTAATAAACCCCAATATGGTAGGCGGTACCTGAAATACATTGCTAGCTTCAGATGCAGCTGCTGCAGCCTTCCCTATCACTTCCTCCAGCTTGGTGGCAGCATCCGACAGATTCACTGCAGTTGGGCGGCTGAGGAAGCATACAAGAAACCATTCACGAGCAGCCCATCCAGCAAGCACAATCAAACGCATTTCCAAATATGAATACCTCGAAACAAGATATCCCAATTTCTCAGAGAGGAAAGCAGCAGCTTCGACTGGCGTCCCTGTAAACCCCACTAAGTTAGACACTTCCACTGCAAGTGAGAGAGCTGCTGCAATGGCAATTGCAGGCGCCCCTCTTACCACCATATCTCGTATGGCTGACCTGGGTCATACAACAGCAACTTCTTAACCACAGCGCAATCTCAGGCATTCAACATTTGGTGATGCAATGTAATGAAATGGGTAACATTCGTAACCATCAGAAATCAAAACAATTCTAGACATTAGAGAGAGAATATAATGAATAGTGAATACCATCCATCAGTCGAGTCTTTGATATCCAAGTAAATGGTCTCCAGAGGAAGCTTTCGCTGTTTCAATTCAGACGATCAACAATCCGATCAGCCACAAGTAAACAAACAGAAACCCATCAATTCAAAGGAGAAAAGAAAGAGAGAGAGACCTGGTCAAGGAGCTGGAGGGAGCCGCGCTTGTAGCAAATAGCCTGAAGAGTGCTGTCGCCGGCGGCAGCGAGCTGATTCGGCGCCATTCTTAACTCCCGAAAAAGCTTCTTAAGCAAAAGGTATCTGTTTTGAAAGCTTCTCGACCAGAATGGCGGGATCGAATTTGGCTTTACCTGCAAATGGTAAGCGAAAGGTGAAGACTTTCTCTTCTCTCGTCTCTGGTCTGCGTTTAGGTGAAGTCGTCATACCAAATTTTTAACAAGGAGCAAGGACAGACTAAGGTAGTTAATTATAGGGTTATAGGTATAATATGCCCCTCTACTATGACGTTTTATCAAACATGTCCTTCTACTATTTTTTACATCAAACATGCTCCTGTAATTTGAAAAAATTATCAAACATGCCCTTCGGTTAAGATTTCCATTGATAAAATCGTCAATCATGGTTGAACCGAGATTTAGACGACCCGACATCGGCAAATGGGAGCGAAAATGTCAGTTTTTTCTCCCGTTTTATTTCTCTGGGTCTCTTCAAAGTGAAATTATTTGAATTATTTGACTATAAAAAAGAAGAAAAAATTTTCTAAAGTGAAATTATTAGGGATATTTTAGACATTTGTGCCGCCCAAACCAAAGTTCGACCTTGGTTAACGGTTTTTGGATGAAAATTTAAACAAAAGGGCATATTTGATCATTTTTACAAAGTACATGGGCATGTTTGATGTAAAAAAAATAGTATAAGGGCATGTTTGATAAAATGTCATAGTAGAGGGTCATATTATACCTATCCAACAACTTTTGGTTCAATAACATAACAGTCACCAAAACTTTCAATATTACAACAAAATTTGTCTGTTAATCTTGTACCATCCAACAAAATTAACAAAACGTTCAAACTGGACAAGTAAGCATTAAAGTGTATCTCTTCATCCAAATTAATATTGAAAAAATGTTACATAGGCTCCTTAACAAGCTTTTTCCCCCCTCCAATACTCCCTCACAAGCTAACAAGCTGATGTGATCGATCTATAACCAAAATCTAGCTCGAACCAAACTAATCCAACTGCCCCAAAACCTCCACATAAGACCAACTGCAGCTGCTGATAAGGACATGCCTAAGATGAGACCATTGATAGCTGGTGCAATCTATCGGAAGAAAGCAGAGTTCCAGGTGAAAGCAGTGTGGAGAAGATCCAGTTCTTGCATTTCCATCATCCATACTGTTAATTCAGTCAAAAGAGTCCACCTTCTCTGCAAAACTGGAAAACAAATTCGGTTGCATCAAATTTCCAGAAGGATTCCAACCATGGATTTTCAACAGGAGTAAGTAGTTATAGTTGATTTGTTCCTGATGACATTTGCATATATCCAAGAGTGTCTGACCTCAGCAGTGTTGCCTATTGAACAGGACAAAAGTCCAACCAATCATACACATAAATTACATCAGTGCTGTCCTACCTGAAAGTTGAGGTAGTGGGGTATGGTTGATCATAACAGAAATAATAAGAGACAGACATCTAAAGAGCACAAAAAGGGATCTTGAAAACTCAAAATGCCTCAAACAATTTAAACTGTATGTGAAACAAAACTGGGGAAGGGTAAGATATTCTTACCATAAAGAACTCCAGATGGCTCTAAAAGGGGTTTCTGTAGGTTTTTCCTTGCAGCTGGGGTGCATTTCACACCATCCTGACGAGAACTTTGAGGATATCATCCATGGAAGGCCGATGCAAAGGGTCATCCTCCACACATGCCTTTGCTAAAACAGATAGACATAGAGCCTCCGCAAGCGGATAGTTTCCTTCTAGACATGGATCGACGAAGCTCCTCAGCTGTTCAAAACATCCCCCTTCGCCAGCTCCACCTCCAAGGAAGCCAAGTGATTCCTTGAATGAAGTTCCATCGGTATCCTCCCTTCCTGATATCAGTTCAAGTAGGACCACCCCAAATGCAAAGATGTCAACTTTATCAGAAGCTGACCCGTTGTACTCAGGAGCCAACCACCCTTTGTGACTAGGACTTTGGCCACTGCTGGGGTTGGTCCTGATATTTGTGAGCTTTGCCCTCCAATTCGATGTCACAAAAATGTTCCTAGTGTTCACACTCATATGGGCATACGAAGGGAAAATGCAGTAGTGAAGGTAGTGAAGTCCTGTAGCTACATCGAATGCCATCTGCGTTCTTCTATTCCACCGAACGTGGCTCGATGGATCCGCTAGACAATTTCTCAAGCAGCCATAGCTAGGAAGCTCGAGAACAATGCAAGAGTCGTCTCCATGATCATAACACACACCAAGCAACGCAACAATGTTGATGTGGTTGATCCTAGAATGAATATCAACCACTTGCCTCGTGTCGTCAAACAGCAATGGCTTCACCATCACTTCAACATCATCGATCAACCCTTTATAACCCTCATCTCCAATCTTGTTCTCGTCGCTGAAATCCTTCGTTGCTATCCTCAGCTCATCTGTGCTGTAACTTCTCAACGAGTACTTGATCCCAACTAGAAGATCAGGTGACAAACATGGAGTTAAACCCGTGGCTGAGCTTTTCGGTGTGGAGCAAGTTAGATGAGATATGCTGGTGTTGAATGAAAGCAGCTTCTGGATCTTCTCTTTCCTCCTACCATTCATGTGCATACCGAAAGCAAACATTGCAGCGACTGAAATGAAAAACACAATAACCGATCCTGTGATGTAGAAGCTTCTCATTAACCTCAAATTGTTTCTCGATGAACGCCTCTCGACGATGATCGTGGGGAGAAAGACTGGAGCTGGTGGAGGTGGAGAAGCAACGTGACTAGTCATGTTGACTCTCACCGAGATTTCTTTCAAAGGGATCAACAGGGTCGTGTTGGGGTAGATCGTAGTCCAAGGATCGAGGCCATTGATTCTGAACAAATCCTCGCCTGAAATCCCGAATTTGTCATCGATTTCACGCAGCACGTCACCTTCAAACACAGGATAAGTAGCAAGGTAGTTCAATCCTCCATTGGTCGAATTGTCATCACGATGATCAGGACAAGCACATTTGAGAGGCAGATGAATGGCAGTGCCAGCTACCACTTGATCCGTGTCGAAACCATTTACCTCCATGATTGTACTATATGCCACCAAGCTCTCGAACACCGAACACGCCACATCTGCTACACTGGTGTTGTTCAAAGGAGCTGTGTAGGTCACCAACTCCGTCTGAAAGTACTGTCCAGAACATGAGCACTGTACAGGAACAAAAACTTCCCTGCCCGGATCAAGAACCTCCATTGATGATGCAACTCCTCCATTCAGATGCTGCATCGAGTCGACGCTGCTGTTTAACAACTCTGAGATGCTCGCCAAGGTTCTGAATTGCCAGGTAGCCCTGAAGATCAGAAATGTGCTGCAAGAACTATTGCTACTTGACGTTGTGTTGCAGGTGTATCTGGAACCAGGAGAGGTGGAATTCGGCGCAGCGCAATCCGACGTGTCGTAGTGTTGCTGAGCAGAAGCTGTGGAAGAAGTGAAGCTGAAGAGACCTAGCAAGATCAAGAACCAAAGGAGTGACATTGTGGGGGTTAGTCTAGTGGCTGCATTTCCTGTTTCTGTGTGGAAGGACTAGTAGTATAGCAATGGAATCTCTTGTCTTTTTGTTAGGCTGTGGGGGCAGCGATGTTAACAGAACGCCATTACTGCCGGCCATCCATGGTTTTACATAATGTGCTAACATGTACTTAATGAAAATTTAGTTGTTATTGGAGTGGGGGAATCGATTCGTATTCTTCTGTTTGTATCTATCTGAATGCAAATACAGAAGCAAAGGGAGAAATATGAATACCGTCCATTAGATGAATCTTTCATGTCAGAGTAAATAGTCTCCAGATGAATCTTTCTCTGTTCAGCGAAGACATTCAAGTTCCAACATTCCGGATTAAATAAACAGACATAAACCCATTTATTCAAAGGAGCAAAAGAAGAGAGACCGACCTGATCAAGGAGCTCGAGAGACCCGTCCTCGTGGCAAATAGCCTGCAGAGTAACGTTGCCGCCGCCGGCGGCGAGTGAATTGGGCGTCATTCTTAAATCTCCGGGGAGACTCTTAAGGAAACAAAACACTATCAATTTCTGAAAGCTTCTTGATCAGAATCGTGGAGCGAATGGGACAGACAAACGAACGCTAAGCGAAAAGGCGGAGGCTTTCTCTTCTCTCGTCTCGGGTCTGTGACGCCGCCCGGCCCCGGCGGGATTTGGGGAACATCTGGTCGTCGACTCGACTCTCTAGTGTGTAGTATCTGTTCTGTTAAGCAAACCGGGGTGAATTACCATATTGGTCACTTAACTGTTGGTTCCTTAACAGATCAGCCATCAGACTTCTATTGTTAACGAATTTGGGCCGTTTACCCGTCTAAAGACGAACAGCTGGGCCAGTGACCCATTGTCTTCAAATTGGGCCTTTTACCCGTGACCCGCGCAGGTTAATTAGCTTGATGTTGGACTAAACAAGCCTAATTAAAAGTGGTAATTAATTTTGGGCAAACCAATGTACAATCTGTGCATATATCATTAATCGTTTAGTTTCAATAAGTTGAGTTCATGAATATTATACTTTCTTATCAACAACACAAAACCCACAACTATAATATGTGATAGTCCGTATGTAACCGAATCATCGATAATTATTGGGCTTGACGTTCGCTCTTAGATATTATGAGCTTTTTATGGCTATTTTTCATCTCGCTTTTTGTTGATACTAGTAATACAAGTGATCTTTCCCCTTTTTTTTCTTTCTAGAAAATGGGTGCTAAAAATCACGGGACAGGTAATGGTGATTACTACTTTTGTAGTAATCACCATAGTTACTAATGGTAAATTGGGTATGAAAAATAAATTGTATTAATTAAATTTTGTAATAAATTACATTTTAAGTAGTTACAAAAATCTATTAATTATGATTCTCTCCCTTTCAGGGGCGGAGCCAGGATTTCGAGACCGGGGGGGCCGAAAATAATTAAAAAAAAATTATGTAACCAATGTGGATCGAACCCATGTGCTATAATACATAAGTTAAGCTTGGCTACCATTAGACCACATAACTATTTGATCATATAATTTACAGAACATGTTCTACTTCTAATATTTGTACGAAATATCTTTAAAAACCTAGGGGCCGGGATCAATCCCGGGGGGGCCGGGGCCCACCCTAGCTACAATGTAGCTCCGCCCCTGCTCCCTTTCTCTCACTTCCATAATCTCCAGCCAGATCCTCTTTCCTTATTTTTCTCAATCTTTCTGCAAAAGAAAAAAAAAACACGAAATCACTACCAATCCATTAGACTACCACTACCACTTTGAAAAACATCAATACCATTGCAGAAATAAATCAATACCATTACACGAAAACTACCAATATAAACAATCTACCAATATAAATCTATACCATTTCACAAAAAATCAATACCATTGCAGATTTAATCAATACCAATATATGCAAATTAATACCAATGCAACAAAATCAATACCAATGCGACAAAAACAAGACCAATCCAAGAAAAATCAATACCAATCCAAGAAAAGTCAATACCAATACGAAAAATCCATACCAGCCTAGACAAAATCAATACCAATCCAAAAAAGATCAATATACCAATACGAAAAATCCATACTAGCCTAGACAATCAGTACCATTATGAAAAACGTACATAACAACCACTACCAATACGATTACACTCAAATCAATACCACTACAAAAAAAGTATCAAACTAGTACCAATACGAATACACTCAAACCAAAGAAATGTCATAATAATATTGAAGCAATACCAAATAAATAAAAAATCAACTAATACGACATTAAAAGGGAACCAATGCCAAAACTAAAAAAACTAGATATATGGTTTTATGTTCTCCATAGAGGAGATTTAGCTACTATCAAATTATTAAAACACAAACAACTACCAAAATAAAATCAAATCAACACCACAATAAAAACCAAACATCTACCAAAGCAATACCCAAACCACCGTTAGAGTTAGCCGTGCGTCCATGCATCGCCTCTGTTGGCATTTGAGGGATACAGAGAGAGAGAGGGAGGAGGGGAGGGTCGTTAGAGAGAGAGAGAGAAAGAGAGAGAGAGAGAGAGAGAGGAGGGACGGTCGGAGGTGGTGAGAAGGAGGAGGAGGGAGGGTCGGTGGACGGCTGGAGGAGGAGGGAGGGCCAAACACGGTCGGCAGTGACGGCTTGAGCTTATCGCTGGAGAGAGAGGGAGACGACTGAGAAGGATGGGTGGAGAGAGATTAGGTTTTAAGGAATAAAAATCAGGTGTGATAATTTTTTTATTTCCAAAAATACCCTTAATCTAATCTGTACCGTCAATTTAAAAATAGGATAAAATATAGATAATGAATGGTACAGATTTTAATAGTCATCGTGATTACTCAAAATTGAGTAATCACGCTAACGCATTCCTAAAAATCACCCCAGCTTTTACACTTAAATTAAACGAGACTGTGCAATGCTTATAATGTCATACATCGTCAAGTTCCGAAGACCAGGATCCATAAGCCTGAAATCGAGGACACCACACAACCGCAAAAGAGTGGCTCTTATTTGCAAGATATATTCAGCTGACAGAGAACCAAACATGTTTATACGTACTGCCCGCCGTGACTCCCCCGTCGTAGTCAAATAATCCAATTCAAGTCATATCTACGTACTGGAGAATTTTTTTTATTTTTTCATCTCTCTATCAACAAGTACATCAAGTCACCGGATCTCTTTTTTCATATATCTTTTATAAAGGGGTCGACCGAAATTTTATTAACGAAAAAGGGAAATCGTATCACCGGGCAGCAACGTCATGGCCGTTACGACTCGACGGCCTCCGGCGCCGCCACACCTTGGGGACAAACGTCTCGGGAGAAGCCGACCTTGAGGTAGCAACCGCTCTCGGCGACATCCCAGGCGTGACCCGCACCCGTGTCGTCGCAGTTCTGCGTCAGCTGCTCACCCACCTCCGACAAGCACTGCCGGCAGCCCGGCACGTCGCCGGGGGCGCCGTGGATCGTGCACTCCGCGAACCCGAACATCTGCAGCCCGTTCAGCGTGTACACGTTGCAGTAGTTCATCCTCGGCCGGCCGGGCACCACGTTGGCCAGGTCCTCGACGAGGATCTGCTTCATCTGCACCGCCGTGCCCACGTCGCCGCCGTTGCCGCCGTTGCATTCCCAGTCGGGCTCCACTGGCAGCCTGGGCGCCTCCTGGTCCTGGGCGGTGGCTGGCGCGGAGATGAACAGCACTAGGATGATCACCAAACTGGTCATGTCGGCCATGATGATCACCGTAGTCCGTTTTAAGAGATTCGAACCTGAAACCACCAGGTTGCGCGATATCACTACAAGACCAAACCCTTGTTCGTTTTCGTTTGTTTTTTTGGGAACGAGGATGAGTGTGTGAGTGAAGGAAGGGATTTTGACTTGGCGTTGATTTTATAGCCACGGCATGGAACGATGAATTGACGATGATGGCAAGAAATGCTCCTTGGTTAATTTCTTCCCGTCGATCCCACTGTGCGGCGGCGGAGCTGTACGACGATGTGGATAGATTCTCGTTCAGGGCGGGGATTCCAAATCCAATTGCCAAATTATTTTATTATTATGTATTTGTACTCTTTTGAACTTTCGGCTATTTAGGAGTTGGTCAAAATGATGGTTAATATATATATTTCTGTTTTGGTGATAAAATGGGGGTTAATATTGGGAACGATGTTACAGGAAAAAACATCCGCAAGTAAATGGGGTGAATTACAAGAATAGTCATCATACTTCTATTGATTAACAAACTAGTCTCTTAACTTTTTATTAACAAATTTAATTTGTCTCCCCGGCCTAATGAAGAGCCTGCGATCGTGGCCCTTCGAGGAGCTGGGCCAGTAGCCCATTGCCTTCAACTGGGCCTTTAAACCCGTATCCCGCGTAGGTTAATTAGGTTGATGTTGGACTCAACAAGCCTAATTAAAAGGAAAAATTCTTAGCTCCAACTTTGGTTGGACACAGAAGTTCCAACCAAGCCACATGTCGGATTCCTATTAGTGAATTTAACTTTATTTTATATATATTTATTATTGATTTATTTAGCATAATCCAGAACATTAAATATTAAGAAAAAAGAAAGACGAGTCCACAAATAACAATCTGACACGTGGCTGGTTGGAACTTCTGCATCCAACCAAGGTTGGAGCTAAGAATTTTCCAATTAAAAGTCGCATTTGGGTGAGAGATGGTTGGAGTCATGACATGCCGCGATGATGGCGGTGATCAGGGATCGTCAAAATTCTTTTTTGTGGATAATGTCAGGGATCGTCAATTTTAAAATGAGATTGAAATAGAGCCAATAAATGGTGTAGATTTTATTATTTTAGTAGCCACGACGATTACTAAAAAAAATAGCAATCATCATAATCCATTCCGAAATCGAACACTTCATATTAGTATGATTGCAACAATGAGGTAGTGGACACTTCTGTACAGGAGAATTCTCGATCCTCAGGTTTTCTTATATGATATTTGAAATAGTACAAAAAAAAAACCTAAACTTGAATTAGAAAGATATAAGCATATAGTGTATTTTATCCGAATAACTAAAAAATTATTAAAACAGAACTCGTCCCTTCTGTGTAATTGGACCCTGTAAGGTCGTAACGATGAAGAGGTTAATTTTCACCAAAAATTTATGGCTGAAATATATCAGCTAACAATAACATACCTCGTTTTCAGGTTCATTCTAGTATACCGTCCTGATCTGTATATCGCGGTAGGCGGTTTTTAACGATATGATAAACAATTTATTCATTTCGATGGACAAGTACATCGAAGAATCACCGGGTCTTATTATCACGGGAGCAAACATGGCCGTTACTAATTGCTACCTGCGGGACAAACGTCTTCTACGGAGAACCCGACCCTGATATAGCAACCACTCTCGGCCGTATCCCAGGCGTGACCCACACCCGTGTCGTCGCAATAATTGATCAGGTACTGACTGTTAGAAACGGAACAACAACAAGATGAGGATGCCGAATCTGGAGCTGAGTCGCGGACTAGGTCGCTTTCTTTAAGACGTTCGCGGCACTGCCCTCGATGCGCACGGCAGACTATCAACCGGTCGTCTCCAGGATAAAACAGCTCCTCTGGGTACTCGCGGTTTTGTGCGAAAACCGGAGCTCTATGAACACTCTCTCTATTGTGTTTATGCTCGTTGTCGTGTATTTAGAGGGGCTGGGGAGGCGGCTATTTATAGGAGCCGAACCCCTAGGAATATACCCTCTTGCTTGGGGAATAAGTCGGATTAATTAAGGAAGATAATTACTTCCTTAATTAAAACCGTCGGTTAGGATAAATCCTGCTGGGATTATCCTTCGAATATTCCTTTTCAATCGATTATCCCTTAGAATATTCCTCAGAATAACCGATTAATAATTAATTATTAAATAATTAATTTCGTTCGGAATTTCTCCAAAAAATATGTATATAGTCTCAAGTGATCCATCCATCCATCCAACCAACCGGTCGGACGGACGGACGGCGCGCGCGCGCGTGTGTGTGGTGGTCCGTTAGGTCCTCCCTCTCCCACAAAAGTGGGTCACCCCAAGGGGCATGCCCTTAGGAGAGAGGCTCCTATCTTTATAATCACTTCACCAAGTAAAACTACCAATGTGGTAGTTTTTCCACTTGAGACTCTATAGCTTTCAAAGCTATTCATACACATTTCCAACACTGACCCACCTCCGACGAGCACTGCTGGCAGGCCGGCACGTCGCCGGGGGCGTCATGTATCGCGCACACCGCGTACCCGTACATCTGCAGCCCGTTCATCAGCAGCCCGTTGCAGTAGTTCAGCCTCGGCTTACCGGGCGCCACGCCGACCAGGTCCTGGATGAGGATCTGCTTCATCTGCACCGCCGTGCCCACGTCGCCGCCGTTCCCGCCGTCGCATTCTCCGTAGGGCGCCACGGGCAGCAAGGGTGCCTGTGCCTCCTGGGCGGTGATCGTTGGCGCGGAGATGAACAGCACCAGAATGATCACCAGACTTGTCGTTGTGGCGGCGGCCGTGATCACCTTCGTCCTAAGTCGCAGTCGCAACAATGTTATTGTCACGAACGAACAAGTTGATCTCAATAACTCAAATTATTGACACGTACATCTGCTCTCAGCTTTTCTTCTGCTTAATTAGGACGATGAGTGTGAGAGAGTGAAGGAAGGGCTTTTGACTTGGCGTCGATTTATAGCCACGGCATGATTTGATGATGATGGCAAGAAATGCTGTTTTGGTTTAATTTCTTTCCCGTCGATTTCACTGTGGTGCGGAGCCGCCCGACGATGGCGATCTTTGTGGTGACGTTGTGTTCATGGTGTTTATTCTGACGTATATGCTGAGTGAATTTTTGGACTTGGAACAATAGGAACAAAAATGGAAGTTTGTTCTTGACGAGGTTACACTGTTCATGATTGGCCACGATGTAGATAGATCCTCGTTATGGCGGGGATTCCAGATTAACTTGCCAAAATTTGATGTATTCAGTTTGTAATCTTTTTGAACTTTCCCTATGTAAGAGATCGGCAAATGATGGTTTTATCACACAGAAAGTTCTGCTGTCAACTGCTTGTTGGTCTCAATAGCTCAAATTGTTAGAAGATGTTCAATTATAGATCTAATAACATTTCGGACTTTGCTACGGTGACATGCATGTTACCATAACTTGTACTTTTAGGTCGACCCCATATAAGATTAAGTCGACCTAATATGTCGTTTCAGTCTTGTAGTAGAAGGCAGCTTATTCGTAGCAACTTCGAGCCTTTTGTTTGAAGCCTTCCAGATATCCAATATTTCATCCAATGTCTTGAATTTGTAGACAAACATACCTACTTTCATGAGGTAGAGGCCCCTGGACTCGAATGTCATCCATGCTTCTCGAATTGAGCTCCAAAGTAGGCTTCACAAACACTTTCCCAGACTTGGCCATTTTCAGACAGTTTCCCAGTTTTAGCATAGCCTTTTGATCAGGTTAAAAAATGGTCTTCTGGACTTTCTATCGAGCTCCAAACACTTCAATGTGTAAAGGTACACTCCAGCTTCAAAACAAGCCATTAATCTCCAATTTCTATCGAGCCAATTGTAAGATATGAATATCCAAAGTATGCACCATGAAACTGTTTTTTACACTGAAACAATATATTAGGTCGACCTAATCCTAACCGAGGTCGACCGAAAAGTGCAAATTACGGTGAAATGCATGTCACCATAGGCGCACCCATCAGTGGTGTAATCGATAACAGAATTGGAATTGGAATTGGTGGTTAACGGTTACACTGATAATCGTTTAAACTGTAAACAATAAGTCCCAGTAGCCATATTTAGTTAATTACTAACCGACAATTAAACGATTAGTAACCGAAGGTTAAATAGTTAACCAACTAACAGATTGTGGTCATCCTCATAGTAAGCCCCGAAATTAATAGTCGATGAGCAACGGGTGTAGATAAAAAATAATGGGATGTTTGAAGACTTACAATGTCCCTTGTCTACCTTAGTTGTAAATTGTAATTGTGACTTAGGTTCAAATGATTATAACTTCAAGGAAGTGCTTTAGAAGGAGCACAATATAGGGTTCGACTTGCGCACGGTAGCTCGACAACAAATAGTAAAATTTAACTTTCCATGTAATTTGGTGGGGTTTATGAGTTGAGTGATTATTGTTGGGTTTTTTATTCTTGTATATATTTCTTTAATTAATCAAATTCGACGGTAGATTGTGCACTTTTATACTTTCCAATTAACTTTTTTTTACAACATGATTAACATGCCTGGTTATTATATAAGAATACTAGCTTATTACCCGGCCCGTTGGCCGGATTACTGTATGTTACCCACTTGTGGAATGGGAGAGAAAGCAAGTGAGAGTGAAGGGATTGGGATTCCACTTGATTAGGACCGACCCACTAATCCAATTCTTCCCGACCCGCCCCAACCTACAGGATCAGAAAGAGTCAATAAGAAAATACGAACGGGGAGGATTAGTCATATATCTTGACTCTTCAGAAGTGGGTCAAACAGGATCAAGGTTGGGTGAGGGCAATTTTTAGCGCTCAGCAGAGTTCTGGGTTGAATACCTTTACTTAGGCCTAGAAATTGGTGCTGATGCAGACTGCAGTTTTTATTATACCATCATCAATCATCATTGAATTAGTCCTGGGCATCCCTCCCCGTTGTCGGTCTGAATTCTAATGATGGCTTCATTCCTTGCACCAGCCATATCTGCGAGTTGCCATCTCGAGCATGATTTGCCTATGTACAAATAATACAATTAGAGTATGAAAATGAATTCAATGAAAAGGAAAAGAGAATTCTATCACATGCCAATAAATACACACATAATAGTTGAAGTTAAGTGAAAGTCATTACTCGCACATCAATTCTCAAAAATTACAGACTAAACATTGGCTAGAATGGCACTGAAACTACCAAGAATCATGGATGAAACAAGTTGTCAAATTAAATAATCCTTATACTGAAACTACCTTCTAACTTGAAATAAGACATGATCACAGTTCATAGCTCTCTTCTCACTATGAATTGGTTGCAGCTCGTCCTTATCACTGCCTCTCAAGCTCAATTCAAACAGAATAGAGACCGTTATGTAAGATAACCATATTCTTACTGATCATAATTCCTTTCTTCACTCCATTTTTGTCGTAGAAAAGAGTTATCCCCCTCTCCTGCATTTCCCTTTCCCCCTCTCTTCTCCCTCTTCTTCACAAACCGATCCCTAAACCAGCAACAACAACACAAAAATAGCCTTCGCCTCAGACAGGACTGCAGAAGCAAAATTTTCTAAAATCAAACTAAATTTTTTGAAGCAGACTCAACCACGAAAAAAGAGTAAAGCAACAATGCAGTAGAACCCTAAATTTAACTATAATCAAACACATATGAGCAAGATTTTCGATTTGTCTGAGAGTTAACTACACGGAGAGAACAATTGATGCATAATTGAAATGCTCCAAGCAAGTTGAAGGCAAACCATAACTTTAGAATTTGGTCATTATAATAACCTTCAAGTATTGATGCTTCTTAGAACTATCATGTCCAACCCCCACTTATACAACTATGTAGCCATAGTAATTAGTTGTATAATGAGAAATATTACAAAGAAAACTACATAAACAATCAATGTAAGTAAATATTAAAACTAACAATTGATAAAACTTAAAATCTCTCTATTGGTATAAATGTATCTATTAGTAACTACTATGCAATCGAGTATATATGATTTTTAGGCACTGAATAAGAAAAGTATAGATGGCTCACAAATGAAGACGTAGCAACTGAAGGTAGCACACAAAAACCAAAAATAGAAAAAGAGATAAGAAAAAAGGCGAGAAAAAGTCAAACAAAGAAAAAGCCCACATAGGAATACCTCGCTAGCTTTAGGGACTCTCTGCCACAACAAACAACCTTCTTAAAAATCTATCACCCTGAGACATCAAACAAACCTCCCACGACACTAATGTATGACATTCCTATTGTCCAATAGGTTTGTCCAATTTAGACTTCTAAATAAATGGACTTTTCACTATTAAACCAAAACTCACAATCATTAACAGTTAATGCAAAGACATACATTTCTGAGGCCAATCACAACATTTAAGCATAAATTTTAGTTGAAAAGAACAACTAAGTATTTAGCTAAATGATATAGTAGAATGGACACAATCTGCTACCTACTAATGATATAAACGTGTACCAGTACCATCGTTGTATCCTGACTTGCCATTTGCAACAGGCACTTTGAAAGACAGCTGCATTTTAGAGAATAAACACCCATAAGGGCGTTACGAAACCAAGCTTAATCCAAAATCTTCATATTCCACTTCGAAGACTCCATTTTAAAAAATAAGAGAGTTTAACATGTCAAATCACTCATTTGAAAAATCTCAAACAACTATTAATCAATGCAATATAAAGGCACGTTCCAAATTATGTACTTGTAGGAATAATCCCAAATAATTATCAATTAATGCTCCAACTACCTAATGTGCAGAATAGCCCTGGAGCTGTGCTGTTGTTTGCGTTGGTCTACCTTCAAACATAACATAGTTGCATCACGAACCAAAGCAATTAAGCAAAAATCTTCATATTCCAAGTAGAATGACTCAATTCAATTTGGCCAACGCTTTATACATATTGTTTACCCCTGGACCTGTTGCACTTGCGCCTTCAGATCTTCGTGAACACAATACAATTGCGGAGAGGAGGCTATCAACAAAATAAAAATTGTTAATTAAGTGAATCACCATACAACTAAACAAACGCGCTCTTCTTGATTAGCTATCAAAATAGTGGGGGTCGCTACAATCCATCGGTTGCTCCCTCTGCGCCTAAGTTGTAGATATTAGGTTTCAGTGAGAACTTTGAGTACATGAGGAGATATCTTGTAGTGGAGGAGATGACCCGGCGAGTAGAATAGGAAGATTTGGAGAGGTTGCGATGGGCAAAGCAGTTAAAATCGAGTTTTTACCTAAAATCGAAAACTGGGGTAAAATCAAAATCGTATAATCAAATCGTAAAATCGTAGGATTTTAAGTACCGTATAGAACATAGCATATAAGGATATTAATAAGGTAAATTATTAATATCACAAAGACACATAGCATTCAAAATGATAATTCAGAAGATTTTTTTCCATAAGATAATTCTCAAGATTAATGTTCCAAAATCACTATTTTAATTGTTATTTAATGTGTAACTCAAAATAATTCATGATGAAGGGATATAGTTCATGGGTTTGGCTCTTATTTTCATGTTATGTCTAGGTTGTTTAACTCAAAGTAATATTTCGACATCGTCTACTAAGTATGATTTAAAACTAAAAATAATTGAACTTCAATAAAATAAGTAATGTTAGTGGCTTGGTACAAATATATTCATTAATAAATTAATAAGTTAAATGGGGTGAAGGGAAAGAGATTAACCGAACCCTAATTTGGTTATTTTTATTATTTTTGAATATTTTTCTAATAGAAAAATATCTGAGAAGATTCCATTGCCCTTTCCGCTGAAACAATTATACTTATTTTAAATTGGC